CTGCTTGATGAGCGTAGTATGTGGAACGCCACTGAGTACCAATCGTTCAAACAGAGAGACATTCAGATCGAACCCTTCACCCTTTTCCACGGTCAGCTCGTAATTGTTTACCTTGGGTCGAAGTTGTTTGTGATCGCCGATCAAGATGAGTTGTTTGGTAGATGGTGAGAGTGCTGTAAGCACGTGGCTCTCGAGTATTTCTCCAGCTTCTTCTACCAAGATGATACCAGGTGCCGCCTTTCGGATCTCGTCCGTGTACATAGCAGCGGCTGTGGTAGTGCATCCGATAACCCGCTTGTTGTTTAGCACATGAAAATCCTTCTGGCGATATAGGCTTTCAATCTCAGCGCGACATGTGTTGTACTTGTCAGCCAGATTGGAGATTTCGGCAATCTGCTCTTCCAGTATTGCTTTGCGCCACTTCATCTGACGGTTCATGCGTGACTGTAACGAGGTTTGCCAGATGTGAGGATATTGCTGCACTGCGTCGCGAGCAAATATGCCGGCATCTTCGCCTCCAAGCCATCTTTTCACCAAATAGTATTCGTCAATCTGCCTGTTGTTCTTGCCCATGAGTATCATGCCGTCATCACTGTCCGGGACAACGAATGCATCAAAATACTCTGAATCCTCTGAAAACTCTAGGTACTCGAGTATGGCTTTGTGATTAAGTTGCAACGAAGCAAACGCCGTCACTTTTTGGTGAAGAGAAACGTAATATGAGTCTTCCTTGGCTCTCTGTTCTTGGATGCTGATCCATGTTTGGCTGCTCATTTTGTAATTGTTTGGCTGTTCCTTGATGTTCAATGCTCGAGTGGCAGCAGTAAACTTGGAGCCGAGTCGTACAATTGACTGAGATGGTACGCCGGCTTTCTGTATGTCCTCAAGGAACTGGTCAAGGGCATGGTTGGTGTAAGTGAGAACGAGTATAGCCTCCCTGGTATGTTCGTGCAAGATTTTCGCGATGAGCGCACCAATGAAGCTTTTACCGGTACCAGGAGGACCTTGTATGAGACTTACCCTTCTCATAAGACCAGCCAATAATGATTCTGCTTGAGCTTGATCCAAATTGATAGGATGTGTGCTGTCGACAATATCCTGGAGATCCTGGTCCCAGTTTCTTCGAATCCTATCGATGATATAGGTCGGTTGGATACCTGAGACTGCCTCGGCAGAATCTGGCGTGAGATCGAGTAGCTGATCGTCCAGTGGTAATTCCCTGAGAGATTGGAGGCATTTGAGGATTGGTTCATACGAAAACACAGCAGTATCAACTTGTACAAAAGAAAGATCTTGGGCGATCTTGCACGCCATCAAAACCTTGCCAAAGGAGCTGGCGTCGATGATCCGGAGTACAACTACAGGAGGGTCCTGAGCAAGAAGGCCCTCGTTGCGGTCTACATATGCAAAAGCGATAAGCTGCTCGTTGCTGACAAGACACCCAAGAGAGTCGTGCTTCAAGATTTTTTTGTTTTCGTCAAGCTCCTTTTTACGATCGTCCACGTGTTTGAAGCTGCGTAGTTGAGGAATACCCTTTGGACACCGAAGCCTCAACGAGCAGGGCTTGCGTCTCCTATCTAGACCACAGTCAATACCATCGTATTGCAGATTTTCGAGTATCACTTTGCGCCGCCCCTTCTTTTTGCCAATGGCAATCTGAAAGTCGCTGCGCAATTCACCCAAAAGATCCTCGCGAAGCAGGCGAAATTGATTGTCGAGATGCATCAGGCTGCGGCCTTCTGGAGCAGCCGAAGCGACAACATCCGCGCGCCTGTAAAACGGCTGCGCGTCTGACACAAATTCATCTGGTGTTGGCAATAGCTTGATCTTGCGATAGTCCGCTTTGTCGTTGTCGTGCCTGCCACCGGGGCCATCGACAGAATCATCAGATGTACTTTCTAGGACGTGCTTGATTTTCTGGCCAAGATTACGGAGGTCTAGAGACTCCGAATCGATGAGCGACTTATCGCTGGTAACTTGTTCAGCGATGGGTCGCACATCCGGTACGTTACTGGAGCGACTACACAACAGCTCAAATAACAGCCACGCAAAGGCGCGCGTGCCGTCTTCGGAGAGAAGTTCGGTAGTATGTGCCTGCACAAGCGTGTTCCAGAATGTCGGAGGGTGCACAATAGCCTCCAGAACGCGCTCAAGGAATTGACCGCCGTAAAGCTGTTTGACGGATGGTTGGGAGAGATGTAGAAGGACGGAAGAGGCCAAGCCGTTGAGGAAAGCGCCATCGCCTGAGAAACGGAACGCCTTCGCAACCGCGCCCAAGCCGCCAGGAGCTGCGACCAAACACTCCACGCACTTGGACGCATCCTCCTGGGCACACAGCGCTTCCAGGAATCGACCGCCATCAGCTGCCGTCTTGAGTTCGCGATGGCCATGGATGACGGCGTTGAAGAGCTTCGTCAGCCCCGCAGCTCGTTTTGCTGCAGCCGTTTGGTCCGCCATGTGTGTGTGAGAGGCTAATCTCTTGCAAATAGATATTTTTTTGTTTCAAAGAGGTTAAAAGATGTGTATTTTCTGCATGTATGTGCTGAAGATCTTTGGTTCTTTTGAACTACTCAAGGCACAATGGGTGACTAGGTGGCACAGGGCCCAGCGCATACGAGAGGCTTCTCTGATAGCAGGCTGTGCAAACGATTGGAAGACAAACCCCGCCTTCTGCAATGCGGCAAAGCAATTCGATGCGTTTGCCTGCATGGCATGGTGGGAACTGGACGGACCGACGCCTATCAGCTGTGAGCTGTGCCAATCCTTTGTTTACGTTGAGCAAACCACGCCACAAGCGCCTCAGCCTTGTCCAGGCAGCATGGACTGATTAAGAGCAGCTTGCCGCCGTCTTCTAGGAAAGAAGCCTTGGAACCAGGACTCAATTCCTGGCCAGCATAACAACCCAGCATTGATTTCATCCTTTTTTTTGACCCTATTTCAAACACTGCCACAATGAATCCACCCATAGGCACCAGCAGCAGAGGCGGCGGCCTTGCTCCACGGAGAGGGCAAGGCCGAGGCGGTAGATATCTATATTTCAACAAGCCCAGGGAACCACTGAAGCCTGATCTTACGAAACACCCTCTTGGAGATCTCGTCGATACGATCAGCGCGTCAGACCTGGACGTGGGAGCGAACACTACCTCACACTCTACCGAGATATCTGGCTGCAAGTATGTTTCATCCTACAATTGGACAAACGACGCAAGTAGTACTATTGTCGTACCAGGTAAGTCTAATTTCATATGATCGACTTCAGTGTCCATCTTTGCCTAACTTTAAACCTACCCCAGGAAAACCCCCAAAATGGACGCCTCTCGCAGAACCACAACGCCTAAAAGAAGACAGCGGCCAGTACTTCCGCGACCTGAACGCCGCAAAGAATCCCTCCTACCCCATGGCACCCGCCGTCCACGCTGTGCTCGAAAAAGACTATCACTACCACACTGATGAAATCGACATCTTCGCCTGCGGTAGCACACTAGGAAACCTCCTCCGCTTCGCCCGTGGCATGGACAAACCCTTCCGCTTCAACCTCCAAGTAATTAAACACACCGTCTTCCTCATCCGCAAAGAAAACGACCCCAAGCAATTCATCGAAGGTGTTCGAGGCTACGGTCACACCTTCCCCGAAGCCTACACCACCTGGAGCGACCCCAAAAACTCCATCTCCCACCAACGCATAATCCGCTACAAATTCGGCGGCCTGACACATCTCCTCCGCTTCGAAAGCGACGGCTACATCCCCGATCTTTGCCCCAAAGACACCACTCCACCTCCTCAGTCTAGTGATGACGACACCAAAAATAACTCCCCCGAAGAAGATCTCATCCTCTCCTCCCAAGACCTCATCATCGGCAGCCTACCCAACACCCCCAGACTCACCATCAAAACCCCCAAACACTCCTCTTCCTCCACCACCTCCACCCCCCCTCAATCCACCCTCTTCGACCTCAAAACCCGCTCCGGCAAACACAACAAAAAAATAGACATGACAGACATCCTCCCCCAACTCTGGCTCAAACGCATCCCAAACTTCATAACCGCATACCACGACGGCGCCGGCCTCTTCACCGACATCTGCGTCCAAAACATCGAAACCGAAGTCAGCGCCTGGGCCACCGAGAATGCCGCTGGAATCAAGAAATTCGCAGTCTTGCTACAAGAGCTGGTGAGAGTAGCTAGGGAACATAGTCCCCTGGGTAACGATACGTTGCTGGAAGTTTATTGTCCCGACAAGGAAAAGTTGGAGGTGAGGATGCAGTTTGGAGAGGGGAACGAGGCGTTGCCGTATTGGTTGAGGGAGAGGTGGGAGGAGGGGAGTAAGGTGTTTGCGGGTTCTTCGTCTGATGATGATGAAATTGGTGGTGGTGATGATGATGGTGATAATTGTGGGGGTCTTTGGTTGCCCAACCGGTATGAGGAATGGTATAGTAACGAGAACGATGAGGATTTTGGGCCGAGCAGGAGGTATAGGTCGTATTATGATTCGGGATCTGAGCCAGATTATACTGCATGCTCGGCTAGCGACTGTGGATATTGTGGTAGGTGTTCTTATTGAGGTTGATAGTGGTTGTGCTACTATCCTATCCCTTACTTTAGATTTGATAACATCAAAGTCACGTGTCATACATACGTGATTCGTAATCCGTGTTGTCCGTAAAAAGCGTCACGTTGCTGTAATTAGGTATGCATACCAAATAACTCCATGAATCTGCACCATGTATGTCACAAATACCAATTAGGTTCTGGGTCTCAAACAGCCAAGCGTCATAAGGATAATTATCTTTCATTCATCCGTAAATTATTTGCTCGTAAATAATTGGGTGCAGTCGCCTGGCTTTTCAGCACAGATCTTGCAAACTATGTACCCTTTCCAGCAAGCCGACCAATCTTTCAGGCCAGGAGCAAGCTGTCTTTGCAAAATCATGATATCATATCGAAGTGGAAAGAAGTAGAGTCATCTTCACTGCTTCTCAAAGAAGCTAGATGGAACACGCCTAGTGGGCGATACGTGGGCCCTGAGTCTCGTTGGTGATGCCGATGCGTTCCGCGTTCTGTGTACCATTCATGTCAGCGACCAGAAAGTATGAAAAGAGAGAAAGGGGCTACCCACCTCGGAAGATTGGACACTGCCGTCGGTGAGGATCTTCTTCATGACCTCATCCTCGTTGCTGGTGCCAAACTCGTTCTCAAGCTGGCCCTTGCTAGCGGTGTTGAGGATGCCTTGCTTGCCGTGTCTATTTGTGAATTGTTAGCTAATTTGTTCATAATACTTCTCGTATCTTCGTATCGTCGCTCAGTGAAGCTCTCCACACAGTAAGTGGTCCTGTTTAGCACGGAACAAACAACTCTCGAGCTTCACTCTAAGCAGAGTCCATGAACAGGGAAGAACCTACTCAGGAACCATAATCTTCCAGCCAGCCACAACTTCGGTCATGGGGATACTGCTGTCGGCCTTCCACTTCTTAAGCTGCTCCTCGCTCTCGACGAAGACAGTGAACTGATCGCCGCTGCTTCCCTTGTAGAAGACTTGAGTCTGAGGAGAGTTTCCGCGAGCCATTGTTGCTGATGTGTCGGGTTTGATCGGTTTAGAAGAGTTATTGAATGAGGCAGAGAGATGTTCTGAATGCTAAAGTTGAGTATGTGTGTTATGTGAGAGTGTGGTTGTGGATGGAGGGGAAGCTTTGGAGGGGCTATTTAGCAAGCTCGTGAGCTATGACCGGAGACACTACGTCATTGCCAAGCTTGGGCCTACGTTCTCGAAGCATGGCATGCTAAAGTCAAAATATGGGGATACGCAAGCCCTCACACCGTGATTAGCCTTGCGGCTCATGCCGGAACTTGAGGCTGAGGGGCGGGGCTTTGGCTGGCTTGCAATATCATTGTCAACATTCAACCGAAACAAACACCACCATATGGGCATTTTCCCCTCTCGCCAAACTGAACCTCACACAAATGCACCAAAAAGGAAAAAAAGGTCATGCCACGTTTCATGTCTAGAGATGACGTTGTTGGTTCTAGCCTTGTTGTTGCTATCCAAATATACGTGTCTTTTTGCAATGGATCCCTCCATCACACGATCGCGTGTCAGCTCAACCCCACAGCCCACAGCCAATGACGTCATGCCATCTCCACCGATTCTCAGGTTCCTGCGGGTGCCTTGCATTAATATCAATTGATCGCCATCATGTCGTGCGTATCGCGTTGTCTATCGTGTCGGTCGTAATATCCATATCTTATCTCGCTGTTACTGCAAGGATATAGTGTATCGTTACGTCGTGATAGCTCGATCATAGAAGAAGTTTGTTCGCTTCGCACCTCCTCAACCGTCATTACCTGCAAGCGCCGTGATCCGACCCGACCATCCACACCATTCCACGGCTAAAGTCATCGGAAAAGATTAAATATTCTGTTTTTGCTTTTCAAGAACTTCCTCGAAGGGGTGGCACATGGAGAACCTGACTTGGTTTCGCGGCCCTTCATTCGTCCCACCTTTATCTTCTTGTTCTCCATGCTCGTGTCAGCATCTACGCGCGGAGGTGCTGCGCGCAATGCTTTTGCTGCTAATTCGTAAGAAGGAGTTCTTTGTACCGCGCGTCTCGCAGATTCCGACCGTGGTATGCCAATCATGTGGCTGGAAAGATGTCGGACTTTCTTTGGCTTGGCCTGTAAAGATTTCTCAACCAGTGTTTCTGCATCTCCAGTACAGTTTGCAAGGCGTCGATGTCTGCTAGAAGGCCGCGGATCTTCCACTTCAAAGTCGATTGGTAAGAATGCGGCTGGGGCGCTGTGGAAGTCTACGACAGCTGGTACTGGTCGTCGCTCAGCTGCCGAATGAGACCGTACGGCTCCATGAGGTGCCTTACAAACTCGGCCTTTGGACGAATCATCCGATTTCGAGTTGCTTGCGTTTGAAAGACTAGGCGAGCGACGTGAGAAGTTACTGGCAATGCTTGCCATGCTCAGTTTCCGCATGACTGAGTTGGCCGATGCTCTGATTTGGTTCTCCATTCGACGACTGGACATGCCCGGGAATGGCAAAGCGTCCTTTGTCCATACATCTTCCAAGACGTGTTCAAGGCGAATGCGCTCAGCTCGTCTTGGTACTAGTGTAGGAATGTGGTTTGGGGATAGGTGCGATTGCGATCTCGCAACTATACTAGGCGACAGTGGTGGGGAGGAATCAGGAAATTTCTGAGCCTGGGTATTCTTGATGATGACTTGATTCGTATTTGTTTTCGCACCCAAGGTCGCCGCTCGATGAACCGACATGCGTCGCACCAAGCTGTTCGCATGGCCAAAAACAGGACCAAGGGGTTTGAGGTCCAGGGTTATAGATGTGAACATGTCCTGCATGGTGGATTGGCCTTCGACAAAGTCGTGCGTCTCATAAATAATGCGGTCACGGAGCTGAGTTTTCCATGCTTCTTCTTCCACAGAAGAGCACGCGGTCAAAATCATTTCGTGGAGGCGATGGCCATGCTCGAACACAAATTTCCATGTGTGTGGTGCGGTATGATATTGTATCCCACGACCATTGTTAGCGTCTTCGATGCTCGCATTGGCGAGAGCAATCGAGGCGACAACAGTGTAAGGAGTATGGAATCTGCTTGCCGTTGCAAGTACTAGACATGATCTATACAACACACACACCATGTAGGACCCTTTGATGCGATCGGGTGTCTGATACGCCACATGTAGGACACCGCAAAGCAGCACGTGGCCAAGCATGCGAAAGACGAGTGCTCTGGAAATTTTGTGCTCTTGGAACACGAGCCGGTCTTGCAGCTGCCAGGTAATTTCAATCAGTTTTCGAGTTTGTGGATCGTCCTTGGCTTTGTTCACTTCGCGGATCGTTTCTTGTAGACGAAAGAGAGCCTTCTCAAGTTCGGTGTGCGCCTCCGGATCGTCGTAAACAGGAGTATGGCGACACAAGTCGTCAAAGAGAAGCGGGTATTTGCAAACCCTCTGAATGGGCTTAATGAGGAGGTCCGAGAAGCTCAGTGCCTTTTTGTTGCCAGCTTCGCGATTGTTCTGCGAAGCAATCACCTTTTGCAAAGCTTCGACGCCTCTTTCGTACTCTTGCCAGCCATGCAAACCCTTACATATGGAAGTCAGATCCTGAGACATGGTCGTCCAGTGTGCGCCGTACTCTTCATAGGTGAAGAATCGTCTCATCTAGACCTTGTCAGCTTAGCTTTTTTCAATTTTTGGATGAATAGCGAACATGTTTGTTGAAGATCTTGGCGATATTCCCAGCCGTTTCAGTGTCCGTTGCCAGTCCACGTGATCTACATTCCGGAGATCTTCCTATCTCTAGGGAGTGTCTGAGCCGTCGGGTGACTCTGTGTTCGGCAAGGCGACCTGGAGTGACGTCCGCGCTGTTGAAGCGAATGTGCTTGGCTTTTGTTGCAGGGAGTGCTTCCTGGTTCGCACTCTTTGTGAAGTCGGCATGGGGGACGACCTGATGAAGTTCTGCAAGCAGATCCTCGTGAAGTTGTAGAATCTGGAATAGGTTTTGCTGTATAGATGATTTGGTGTGTCCTGGTAGAGTAGGGAGGGCAGTGAGAATCATAAAGTAGTCCTGAATAGGTTAGCGGGCAGCCCGAGTCATGTCAGTTGGGGAACTACATACGTTGATCAGAACTTTGAGATCTGCAATGTAGCTCTCTTCCGAAGCAATCAGCTCCTCGACAACTTTACGGCGTTGCAGCGCTCGGAGCCAGGCGCTCTCATCCAGCACAGGTCCTAGCGCACCACGGTGACTATCAAGTGATCGGCGAGCTTCAGAGAGGTTGCTGCTTCTGTTGGCCAAACGAACCCTGCTCGGCAGGCCAATATCGGAGCGAGGAGCAATACTTGTACTTCCAACTGTGACCGAAGTAGACTTCATCGCGGTTACGTATTCCATTGAAGAGGTTAAAGAGCCGTTGGCCCGCCGTGAAGACTCAGGGATGCGCCCAAGCGGCTGCGAAACAACTGACACGGTGTTGACTGTGTCAATGGACAAGCGTGGTACGTCGATAATCTCCTCCTTCCACCGCTGGGCATGCCGACGCTTTAGGGTGCTCATCCACCGTCGGAATGGCTGCGAAGAAGCCTGCGTGATGTTTGGCGCTGCATGATACTGCTCGTGCGTTTCGCTTCCAGTATCGTCGGGAAGTTGGTCAGTGGGTAGTGGCACGTGAATGGCTTCGTACAGGTTGAACAGATGTGTCTCGGCAAAGTTGTTCGCATGTGTATTGTTCTCATCGGGGCTGTCCTCATCAAGATCCATACCTTCTCCATCCGCAGTTTCATACTCGGAACAGGACTCTGATACATACTGCCATTTGTGGCAATCCTCTCCTTCTGAGGGAGACGGCAGTTCTGGCTGGCAGAAGGATGGTGGCGGTCGATCGTGGCCGCAGTTTCGCTTCCGTGGCTCATCGACAACACGTGCAGTGGTGACTGGGAAAATCTTCTTCTCAGAAGCCAAGTCGAGCAGTGACTGGGAGGTCAGGGGTAGCGTATTCTCATCGGCATGGGCTAGATCAACGGCTCTGCTGTCTCTCAGGGAGTAGAAAGAACGGGCGGAGCCGTTGCGAAGCGCGGCACGGGTCAGTGGTGCATGGAGATTGTCGTCAAAAGGCGAGCAGGAATTTGGATATGGGTTATCGCTAAAGGAACGCTTGAGGGGGCTCTGAGGACGGAGCGACAGCACATAGGCCATCTCAACAGCGTTGTAGTGGTTGGCACTGTGACAAGGGGCGCATGGAGGGTTGAAGCAGCATGAGATAAGAACTACTGCATCCAACGACGGTGGCCTGGGGAGAGACAAGTGAAGAGCAGAGAGGCCAGACAGCTGGCCCAAGCATACTGGAAACAACCACTGTAAGGGAAACGCGAGGAGGCAGGCCGGGAAGGTAGGTGCACATGGGTGAGGCCGAAGCAGGCGAGGGTCTTATGAGCAAGCGACGATCTCATGAGCAGGTATGGCGAGTTGGAGAGGCAGGAAGGCGGGAGCCATGGACAGACATAGCCGGGGGACGCGTAGTGGACCACGTTTCGAGATGCGACTAGCGGGCCGGCCTCGTTGCTTTTCGCCTGTGTGGGAGGAGTTGCAAAAGCATCATGACGGTAGGAGCGGCGGGCGACGAGCACGAGTGGCACGCTGACCTGCTGGCACCCCTTGCACTGCGGGCTGCCGTGGCCCCGGATGGTGTCGCTGTCTGTGTATGTGTGCGCGCGCGTGTGGTGCTGTCTCACGTAGTAGCATGTTGCAAGTCGGGTGCAGTGGGTGCAGATGGGGTGCACGTGACGTGGCTTTGCAGGCTGGACCACGGATTGCATGAGGGTTGAAGAGGCGCCATGGTGATGGCGGGCATGGAAGTCCGTGGCTGTGGCTGCCGCTGCCCCGCACCCTTCCCTCCCCCCACTTTGTCTGCAAGTACTACTCTACGTGCCAACTAGTAGCAGAACAATTAGTGGCAGAGGGCGCCAGGCGAATTTCTAGCACCAAAGCGCCCCCAGCTCGTAGCTAGCAGCCAGCCATCATGGACGACATTCATGCGCCCACGGTGTCGTCGGGTCCAACGTCGTCGGGCCATTCTAACGGAATACCCAAGGAGCAGTTGTCGCTGCAAGAGCTCATTGCAGAAAAAGATCGCGTCGAAGCAGAACTCAAGGCTCTAGGGCAGGTGCTGGATTCGGTACGCACGAGAAGCATGTCGCCGCCTAGTCATCATCTGATCGTTGCTTGCAGCATGGCGTTCGCATGAGTACCGGTCTAACGACACTCGATGGCTTCCCGCGCAGTGACATTGACGTCGCTCAGAGTAGGCCACGCACGCCGTGCCAATAGCAGTTTCGTCGCTGACCTGCCTCCAGTACGGACGACGCGGGCGCGCATCATATGGCTGAAGAACGACTACAAGGACCTCATGTCGCGCATCGAAAAGGGCCTCCACGAACACCACGCGCGCCTGGCAGAGCAGGCAAACAACCCGGCAGCGGCGAGCCAAACGCAGCCAGAAGTCAACGTACCGCCTGCGGCTCTCGAAGCACCCTTCGCAAAGGTCAATAGCGTGGTGGCGGGCAGTCCGGCCGAGACAGCAGGGCTACGGGTGGGCGACACCATAACCAAGTTTGGCTGGATCGACTGGACAAACCACGAGAGACTATCGCGGGTGGCAGAGGTGGTTTCGCAGAACGAAGGGGTACTTGGCATGCTACCGAGTGTCGTGCGCGCAGGACTGACGTGTTGCAGGTGCCCATTACCGTGAAGGCGTTGCGACCAAATGTCTCGGGCGGCCCCGCAGAGAGTGTGCAAATGCAACTCACCCCGCGAAGGAATTGGGGCGGGCGAGGGCTACTGGGCTGCCACTTGTTGCCCATGTAAGGCGAAAGGCGAGAGGCGTGAGGATGGCTGGGAATGACGTCAGGGGCATTTGGGCTCTACAGCAGATACAGCAGGGACAGCAGAGCAGGTACATCATCTATCAGACGTAGGGCACACAGCGCCTCCATCAAGTCCATGAGCATCCAAGGGCCCATCGTGGGTTGGGTGGCCGGGCACGGTTTGCTGATCGCAGTGGATGGTGGCTGGTGGAGGGTGAGTAAGTAGCATGTCTCGTAGTCGCAACGGCACGCCAGCGCTTGCTGCGTGGCGCACTGGGTTTGGGCCAACAAGCATTGCAATAGCATCATAGCCGGTGTCTTTCTGCCCTTGGGGCCAGGCCAAGCAAATCAGTCGATGAATCAATAAATCAATCAAAGAGGCTCCGGCTGCATGGCCAACAGTTCGCCGGGCCGTTTGATTTCAAAGACAAAGGGAGCCTGCGGCGGCCTAGAGGGCCGCCTTGTGCCTGCGATGTCGAAAATTGCAGAAGGTGAGGGCGTGCCAAGAGATCCACACCGCCCGGGGCGGGCCAACACTTGAGCTTGCACAACAAAACCTCTTCTTGCCCCTCTGGAAAGTCACTTCACACGCCTGCACCATTCCCCACTCTTTAGCCCAACGTAAGCCTGCACCACGACCTGCTTTTTGTTCATCGCCCTCGTGCGACTTCAACTAACACTTTTTGCTCCCACAGTCTCTGCGCATCTCGTCTCGTCCACACTTCTCCCCCGCCACAACAACCTACACCATGGCCGAGACTGCCGCCCAACCCAGCTGCCCGACTTTCAAGCTCGTGCTTGTCGGTGATGGTGGTACTGGAAAGGTATGTCGTCCCATTTTGCATCCTGTTGCGATAGTAGCCTGCCCATTGAGGTGGATGCGCACTCAACAAGGCTTGCATACGACCTCGCCATGGCACCTTTACTGACAGCCCCTGCCCCTAGACCACCTTCGTCAAGCGCCACTTGACTGGAGAGTTCGAGAAGAAGTACATTGCGACGCTCGGTGTCGAAGTCCACCCGCTCGCTTTCACCACCGTACGTTGTCCGATGCCCTATCCGCGCCATGCGCCCTACTGACGTCGCAAAAAAAAAACAGAACCTTGGCCCCATCCAGTTCGATGTCTGGGACACTGCAGGTCAGGAGAAGTTCGGTGGTCTCCGTGACGGATACTACATCAACGGCCAATGCGGTATCATCATGTTTGACGTGACTTCGCGTATCACATACAAGAACGTCCCCAATTGGCACCGTATGTTTTGCAACTAATCGACTGGCACTAGACACGATAACTAACAGTCCATCAGGTGACTTGGTCCGTGTCTGCGAAAACATTCCCATCGTCCTGACCGGCAACAAGGTCGACGTCAAGGAGCGCAAGGTCAAGGCAAAGTCCATCACCTTCCACCGAAAGAAGAACCTCCAGTACTACGACATCTCTGCCAAGTCCAACTACAACTTCGAGAAGCCCTTCCTCTGGCTCGCCAGGAAACTTGTCGGCAACCAGTCCTTGGACTTTGTCGCCGCTCCCGCTCTTGCGCCCCCCGAGGTTACGGTCGACCAGGCTGTTCTCGAGCAGTACCGACAGGAGATGGAGAACGCCGCTCAGATGCCTCTGCCCGATGAGGATGATGCTGACTTGTAGATATGGGCATGAGCTTGCTCCTGGCCACGGCCAGGAGTGTAATGGGTACACGAATCGAATGGGAATATGAGAATTGGAGCTGCACAATTTGCAGCGCCAGGAGCTTCCAATATTGTTAGTGAAGACGGAGGATTGGGACGAGGATTCTGCAGAATATGATCACATGAGGCGCTGGATTAGCCGGCGTTTCGACGAATAAGTAAACTCTAGACCATTTGCATGTTGAAATGCGTATGTTTGACTTTGAACGAGACCATGATTAGTTTTTTTCTTTCTCTGCCTCTCGAAACCCTTAGGGGAAGGAAAAAAAAGAATGCCAGCATAGACCCTGCCTGTGAATGCAAGAGTAAAGCATTCAGACTAGACCATTGCTGTTGCTTTTTTTTCAAAAGTAGGGTAAGGACAAAGAAAGCACCGCTGATATTTTCCCTGAATGGGTTATTACTCGGAAGTATACGAAACAAAACAAGCAACCCCCCCCCCCTCCCCCCCCCAAAAAAAAGAAGAAGTCGCAGCTAACAGGTTGACAGTTTTCTTCCCTACTCTCGCTCTACCTGCCGTACCTGAACTCTTTTTTTTCTCTTTCTTTCTCTTGACTGATTATTCACTTTTTAATTGCACACGTGATTGCAACACTCTGAAACCATTTTGAACTTCGACTTGTTTGTGATTCTAATCTTGCTAACTTTTTTTTCAATTCAATATCCAAGTTTGTGGTAAATGGTCTCCTCATATTTGCGTTGGTGCATTAATCTAACCCCAACCTAACCCCTGGGCTTTGGAGAAAAATAACCCCCCCACCGACACATAACTGGCAAGATTCCGAAAGGAAAAACAGCGCCAATCCCGCGCCAGCCTAAAACGCGGAGAGATGGAAAAAAAAGAAGGGGGACAAGGAAAAGAAAAAAACATGGTATACGAGACGTTTGGCTTGATTCGTTATGCAAGACGTGGGAAAAAAACTTTCTGAAATAAAACTTGACCCTGAGAAAAAAAAACGGAAAAAAGGTCTGGCTGTGAGACTGTATAGGTAACATGAGGGGGTCAAAAAAATACATTGTTGATGGCATTGATGATGGCACTTTGCGTAGACGAATGCGTTGTGTTGGCGAACGCAATGGGGGATAAAACCAGGTCATAAGGACATTCAAGGGCGGTGCATGACTCTCTACGACTTCAACATGCTGTAGTCAAAAAGGTTAGTGGCATGTTTACATATTTGCGAGTAAGAGAAAGTGGGAAACTTACGGAGCAATCAACTGCGCATACTGCTGTTGCGGGACGTGGCTTCCCTCCTCAATAACATTGCGAATAATATCGTTCTGATCAATATTGCTCCACAAATGAATGCCCATGGCTTTTTTGCTGTTGAATAGTGTATGTGCTACACCTCTGACTTGGCCGAGGACTACACTAGCAATGGGCCATGTGTTGGAGTATTGTTGCAGGGTCCCGACGTCCAGACGGATGGATTGCTTGATGATGTCGTCTTGGCCGTCGGGGACGAGGAAGGACCAGTAGGAAAGATGGACGACCGATGCCATGACGACGACGCAGGTGAAGAAGGGCGTGTGGTAGAGTAGGTTACCCGGTAGACGGATGAGCGAAGAAATGTTTTCGGCCGATGTGAGACACTTGGCTGTGTGGATTTCGCGCGTCTGTGTCGGAAGCAAGACTTGTCCTGGTTGCACACAAATGTTGACACCTTCGACTCTTCCGAATCCCAGGTTGCTTCGCGGCCGGTGCAGCATGATTGTGCTGCCTGCATTGACCATGTGTGCTTGGAATAGCACCTCGTCGATGTGGCCGTCGTTGTTCACAATGTCCATTTTCGACTGGGGGAGGTGCAGCCGCCAGTTGCACAGGAACTGGTCGACGACATCGACGGCGTGGTATTCAAACGTCGAGTCGAGACGGGCGCATTCAAAGACTTTGCCTAGGATTCGGATGGCGTCGATGAGGTAGGTGAAGGAACTGAATGTGACCAACGACGGCAGGAAAGCCGAGTCGTCATAGTCTTGTAGAGTCGATGGGAATGGTATTTGCTGGGAGCATTGTTAGTCTCTTGTCGTCTTACTGATATGCACGAGAGTAGTCCAAAACGGCATGGTGGCTGCGGGTCATGTACGGTAAGAGTGAGCAGCGCAGTAGCCCATGACCAAGCCGGGAAGCATTGCCAAGAAAAAGGTCAGATCGGAGTGCAGGGGTCTTGACTTACACCTGAGAAGTACTGAATGTTCTCGCAAGGAAGCGGGACGTCTGTTTGTACATCCTTTAGCCTGAATTGTACGCCCGGGTTGACGGCCGTCATCATGCCATTTGCTGTGTACATGGACCACCACGTCCTCCGCCAACTCTCCTCAAGCTGTGGGTCGTTCTCGCCATTCATCAAAGCAAACTCGATACGGTGGAGACCGATTTCTAGCGTCAGGTCTTGGGCCATGGTGAAGATCTGCGCCGCTCGGGGGACCTGGTTGTGCGCATGTAGACCAATGGCAAAAAGCAGCATTGCTTGCACCGACCATCCGTCTCTTGGATAGTTGCCAGTGTTGATCTGGCGGTCTAGTGCCTCCTGGTACATAGCAGTAGGCACAGCAGGCAGGAAGCTTGAGCCAATGAACTGGACGGCATATTCCAAGAGAGGAGCCTGGCGGTCCTTGAAGATGTCGAGTAGCCTCGGCTCGGGTAAGCAAAAGGGATGTGAGTTGTAGAAGAAATGGTAGAATGCCTGGACGGCAGTCTCGGGTCCATGGTGGCCGAAGCGGTTCAAGCGGGCAGTGCCGTTGAGGTTAAGCTGAGCAACTGGCGGGGCAACTGCTCGAACGCCGAGACCATGCAACGGGCTGAGTTGGTTCACGTCGCCATTGTACGAATAGTCAGGCGAGGAGGACATGTGACCATTGCTGGCGGCAACTTCAGCAGCAGATAGTGCTAGTCATGTTAGAGGCGAAGACTATGTGGCGGCCGCGAAAGAACAAAGTTACTCACCATGGGCGACGGGAGGGGCGGCAGGCGCAGCATTGTCGTCCTTGTTCTTGCGCTTCCCCTTCCAACCGCGTCGTGACTTGATGTAGGTACATTCGACGTTATCGGTCCTACATCGGGAACACTGGGCTCCACCGTCGCATTTCAAATGCCTGCTTCGACATTGGACGCAGGCGACGGCGACCGAGGCTCTTGTTTGATCCCCGGATGACGCCTTTTGGCTGCTCTTGAGGCCGGCATTGGAGCCGGCCCTGCTGCCATTGGACGACTGAGGCGTCTGGGCAGGTGGAGTGGTGGTCCCGACACTGTTGGAGTGGGTAGCAATACTGGCAGTAGGCGACAAATGGAGTCCTAGCGAGGGCGAGAGAGAGGCCGCCGAGTCGGGCGGAGAGAAGGGCTGGTGGTTGGCCCAGATGGTATCATTGACGCCCGTAGAGAAGGACGACTGTCCGGCCGTCGCGTGGGCGGACATGGGCATGGCGGAAGGAGGCATGTGCGCAGATTTGCGCGCGCTCGTCTGATCTCTCTGGTCTATGGTGTTGTCGAAACGAAGCAGCAATCGTCCGAGTGGGCGACAGAGCAGCAGGAGTGCGCAACTGTGCGTATGGAGAGACGTTTGAGGTTCAATGGGTGCGGGCTGCTAGCACCGACTTGACTGTTGACGGGCCCACACGTGACGGCCGTTGCGGGTTAGCGTCAAGCAGCCGCACCCACTGCGAGCCCGCCATCAACTCCCGAACCGCTACCAGCCCAATCGGCCGCCCTCTCTCGGCCCCGGCCATGCGGAGGCGCTGTCCGTCTGCTACCCATTGAGCGCGCCATCCGAGTCCCCTCTACTCTCTGATTGAGCTGTTGTGAGGGGCACGCAGCGACGCCGTGGTTGCGCTCAACACAACGACCACCACCACGCTCGTTCGCACAGGTGGGCGCAAAGGGGGCGAGCGTAGTATGTACCGTCCCCAGCTGAGTCGCGGGCTGGCCGTTCCATCTCGCCCCTGCCATTGGCTCCGATTGCAGATCACCCACGGTGCCTGCAACCACCAGCTCTTGGCCCCTCGCCGTTACGCATACCTGCATGCTTGTACATATATACACTGGCGAGTAACATCTTCATCCTCACAGCCATCGCAGAAACAGCCCATTGCTGCATCGCCCTTGTCTCGGCCATCTTGCCATCTTGCTGCCTCGTCGCGGAAACAACACATTGGCAGTGTCTGCCACAAGACAACTCGCTTGCATGGCTGCAAATGGCCATGTGTGCGCATTATACATGCTCATGGCACACCTGACCTCACTCCCTTTCATGCAGCCAAAACTAATCCTCGTTGCTTTTTGCTCGCGTGGCGACGTGCAGTGCGCCAAAGCCACTGCAAAACCGCCGTCCTTGCCTGCCAGCTGGTGCTTTTCCCTCTCATCCCTTCCATAACCCCTTCCTCAATCGCCACAGCAGCTCCCAGGTGGCCCATCCAAATCTCCCAACAACCCTTGGCGGCGCTACACAAAGGCATGGCGTCGTTACACATACAGTACACGACAGGCAGTCATTGAGTGCTGAGAGGCCATACGATCCGCCTTCAAATATAAACTTGACGTCAGTTGTATTCAAATCTGTACAAAGCTAACAAACGCCTCGTTTGCGAAAGGAAAGAAAGAAAGAAAGAAACGCCCGCTGCCAATGCTAAAACTTTTCCATCAACAAAGAAAAAAACAAGACCGAGAAAAAAGCGTCCCGAAGTCTAGCCAAAGCCAATACCAAAGCTCTCAAGCGTGGACTGCATGTCCACTAGCACTGTGCGTTACCAACTTCTTGCACATCGGGACACCGACCCTTGGTGAAGTTCCACACATCTCCAGCACAATCCCTGAGATTCCTCTCAGCCTTCCACTGCAGCTCCGTCTCTGCTCGCTGTACTTCAGCCACACAAAAACCAACATCTCCCGCCCTTCGTCCGACTTCTCGTGCTGGGATCTTCCGTTGAGACACCTCCTCCAGGCTGTGAAGCACCTCACGAACCGTGTGTCCGTTTCCAGTACCTAGAAAGAGTTAGCAGCCAGATCTAGACGGGCGGGTTGTAGGCGAAAATGCTGCTTACCCAGGTTGTAGGTTCGGAATGGAGCCTTTGTGCGACCAGCTGCTGAAGCAGCCAAAGCCGCGATATGACCACGGGCCAAGTCGACTACATGGATGAAGTCACGCACAGCGGTTCCATCTGGAGTGTTCCAGTCGGTGCCAAAAATATCCAGCACCGGCCTGGCACCCGTCATGACTGTGGCAATGACTGGGATGAGATTGCTTGGTTTCTGCCGTGGATCTTCACCTAGTATTCCGGATTCATGGCAGCCGACCTGGTTCCGTTAGCATCTTCTCGTTTGGAAATTCACTCGGATGAGGGCTTACTGGGTTGAAGTATCTCAGAGCAGTGATGGACCATGTCGGATCCGCCACAGCAAGATCTGCAAGGATGGATTCGCACATGAATTTTGAACGTCCGTAAGGCGAAGTGAGACCCAAGACACCCGGTAGTACCTGACGCTCGCGTCCCTCGGCGTCGACAAAAGTCTCTGGATGATGTACGCATAGCTCCTCGCGTAGAGGCACACCGCAATTGGCACCCTCACCGTATACTGTAGCCGAGGACGAGAAGACAAAGTTTTTGATGCCAAACTCCTCGATTAAGCCCAGGAAATCAACTAGACCGCAAACGTTGTTGCTGTAGTACCTCAGTGGCGTGCGAATGCTTTCTTCGACAGATTTGTAGGCGGCAAAGTGGATAACACCTGTTATCCGGGATCGACGCTCGATCACCGGCTCCTGGCGATCATCCGTCTCCATGTCAATGCCGGAATCTGTTCGCTGCAGATTCGTATACGGGAAGCGACGGGCTAGTGCTGATACCGGTTTGCTGCTGACGGAATACGAAGAGTAATTGGCTAGTACGGTCTTCATCTGCGGACTTCGATAATCCAACTGCTGAAAGTGTAGTGCAGGCAGTTGTCGGCCTTGCTCCTTGCAGAACTCCTCGGCAAGGAATTTGACTCTGGTCAGGACATTTTGGTAGGAGTTGCTGAGGTCGTCGATTACAAGGACGTTGTATCCTTCTTTGAGCAGCTCCAGTGTTGTGTGGGAGCCAATGTAGCCCAATCCGCCAACGACCATGATGAAGGAAGAGCTGACGCCCTCAATGTCCAAAGGATCCGCTGCCACGTCGTCGTCAAAAAGCACAGAGCTTTGTGTCGCTGGTGTACTGACCATCTCCGGTGTCGCGGATGGCGACACCGAGAACTGTGAGGAGCATGCAGACATGGCGGGCAACGCGCTTTGCTTGTTGAATGAGTGAATGGGAGCGAAGAGGAGCGAGTGTGAGTGCCGTGTTACTGATCTGCTTCTTGGTATGCCAACCTTAAAATCTTTATATACGCTACCTCAGTCTTAATGGTACTCAGCTTACATTGAATTAGGCAGAACACGTCAAAGCCAGACTTTTTTGCGCCATCAATATTGTCTACTTTACTTGGCACGACCAGGCCGCTTGATCCCGATTCATGAGTGCCGGAGTCTCCCCAGGCCCAGCTCTCTCGAATATACTCTTGCATCGCTAAAGATCCCTGTCCAATTTACATCGCCGAATGCGCAATACCCAGCCGTGCCCATGCGGGTTACACTACCACAGCTTCTGGAGTCTGAAATTTGCCTTCATCTGGGCTGGAAAGAGCTCGATGGACGCAGTTCCAAGTGCTTCCATCCAGGCGGCTGATACTGGATCCGCCATCGACACCACCCCTGAAGCGCCTGCAGGGCAGTGGAGATGCTCACCACCCAGCCACACTGATGAATACTTTTTTGTTGCTACTTTTGAAATACAGGACCGGATTGGTTTGTTGAGGCTGGGACCGATCCTTTGCAATTGGTTGATAGTAAGCCGTGCCTAAGCTAATGTCATGGATGGGTCTAGCTCGGCCATTGTTCCCATCTACGCCTACCCCCCCAGCAGGGGGCATGGAATCCTTTCGACATCATGTTTGAACCCTTCCCGTTCTCCTGGTAGCCGCCCATCTAACTTGTTTAGGGAACTTCTGACCCTCAAGCACAGTTTACCGCAATTGGAAGCGTGCATTGTGGGCCCAGAGAAGTTGCATCACAGAATGCAGAGTATTTTGCAGCCCTGAAAGCGCTCACTCTGCTCAAAAAAACATGTGCACCATCGCTTACGCCGCAACAAAGTGACGCACCAGATTGTTGAGCCCGCTATAGGATGACATCACTTGGTTCTAATTCGGGGTCGAGTGTGACTTGTCACTAGTATTGGGCGGAATATCTGACGATGGGACCTCCCACGCAACAATCATATGATTGCACAGCGCATTTAGAAACCATGTCTCAGGCCCTGAGAGACGGCGCCCGGGTTAAAGGAGAGCCGTTCTGGTAAGCCTGCTTTGCAGCATGCGTATTGCCACACCGAGCATCGCTGAATTAGGCCTTGTTTGAGTATCCTCGTAGTCGAGGAACCAATTTCGTTCATCAATCGAGGTCGGGTTACACAGCGCAGCTTGCAACTCGCCTGCTTCCCAGTAGTTGCATAAGCGCGAGGCTGAAATGCAACTTCAGTCCATGATCTGGCCATTCCATCACAGTCTAGACGTCTCGACGGGTCCTTTCCAAGCAGTCCGGAGTCACGCCTTTGTCCGAGGGCGCTTCCTGACGGCGGTTCTCAGAGGACAAAAACCGGAGACAAAAAAGTTCAGTACGATTGCCAAAGCCAGAGCGATGCCCATTTATGCCATTCGGAGTTCCCCGTCGCTGCCATTATAGGGAAATCCTCTGCTGGACTAGTTCTGCGTCTTGTTCGCAGGAAATGACTCACTGTTAGCCCCGATTACATACAGTCTGACAGCATTTTGCCCATGTCTATCGATTGCCTTAACGCTTGGTTGAGCTGAGCAGGGTAGATTGGGATCAGGACAGCCTTGCAGGAGCAGCCAAGAGGTACACACATGGGAAGCCAGAGCCTTTGCGGCAAGGCTACATTTCCTTGTCGCCTCCAGCACACCACGTGTGAGTGAAACCTCGGTCCGTAGGATCAATTTAGGTGCGTCGGCCGGCGGCTAAGGTCTTGGTTTTCGCATTTTGAGCTGTGGTGGAAATAAGAAACACCTTGGCCAATGGTGATTACCTTGTCATCGTACCCCACTAACGAGCTGATGCAGATCAGGGAGTCGCGAGAGTATCTGTTCGCCATCTAGACAGGTATTGCAGCACACCAGACGGACCGCTCGGCCGTCGGGTGATTACTTCCAAAGACAACTTTAACTAGTTAGTCGGTAAGATGACTCTAAACCAGTAAAGATTTTCACGCAACATACTCTTAACTATTATGACCCACGGGGGTCAAGCAGCCCCAGTGTCACACTAACATTGGATGTGCTCAGTGGCCATAGGCGGCAGATCTGACAGTCAGCTAATCCCAGGCCACTTGCTGTTCTTAGCCAGATTGTTAGCCCTTAGTCTACGCGCTAAACATGCGCCAACACTCTATTCCAACTCTGATCTCATCTCCGTGCGGAAATTTTACAGCCTCGTTCTATATCGGTTCGCATCTATGAATTTTTCCACAAGGGTTCGCTACCGGAAGTTCAGTACAGTTCACACCCCATGCCATTCCCCGGCAGAATACCGTGGCTTCCTCGCGTTTTCCCGGAAGCTTGAATGCCGGCGGCTCCGCGTAGCCTTGCTTGGCCGATGCAGCATATGGGTGTCCAAACTACCGATTTGATGCCGAGCTGAGTACCAGGTTACCAATTTTTTTGTTTCTGAAGGATTTCAATAGCTTCTTGCGCCAGTCTTGGTTTAGGTCCTGGTCTCAAGCAGTTGACAACGCAAGCGAGCATCCGGCTTACGTATGACGTCTACACTGGACGAGACCATTGGGTAGAGACAGTTGGGCGATGCGTTGTGCGTGGGAACGACAGCTTCCCGAAAACTAGTCGTAGTGCCCGTTCACCTAAGCGGGCGAGCTAAGAACTCGGCACAACGGGGGAGTGCTCCCCTTGTCAATATTGGCTAGCTCTTTTGCAACATGAAGCCGAAGTTACATTTAGATGACGCCCTCTATGGGAACACTCACCTTGAATGACGGGAGCCATTGCAAGCCGCTCGCTAGGGCATGCCGATCTTTCTCTCCTTCACACCATTACCATTGCACCATGATCTATATGTGCTAATTTTGTATGTGCTTAGGGCGAATCGCAGCTTTTGCCTCCCAGGTTCAGGCGTTGAGAAGAACACGAACAGGGGCCCGATCTTTGCCCCGCACCAACCCCTGTCAGCCACAGCTCCTCGTATGGGGCATCCGGAATAGTGGATCGGCCGCCCTGTGCTATGTCGTGTTCAAGCAGGCTTTGAGTGGAGCGCCGTATGCCTGGACCCATTGGCCTGCAAAAAAAAATCGGTAACGAGACTTGGTGTTTCGATTCCTGAATGGATGCTCGGGTCTGGAAGGCGTGCTTCGTGCATGAAAATACGAGTGAGGCTTTGTGAATGCGATGGCGCCCTCGTCTCGTTACCAGCAGCCAGCATCAGCCCTGGGCGCCTTGCACAATGGAAGCTTTCCATACCCACCAGTGCTGCAGGCCTTGCTCACTAGGCATGACCCCCTCACCTCGTTTCCCAAAAAGCGAGCATGGATGTAAGGCATGTGCTGAACGATTGGACGAGGATCTACTTCTCTATAACCAAGGATTGGACACTGCCATTAATCCCCTAAATATAGAGGATCCTGTCCATATGAGGCCGCGTGGCGTTGTCTCAGATACAAATCCCATGTACCTGTCAAGACCAATATCCGCATATAGTCTTGAGTGCCGGCCGCAGCTACCGCCAGGCTTCTGACCGGTGTAGACAAGTTGCTAGACCGGATATTGTAGCCACATTCAACCGGTCGGCAGATATCCCTTGGCGCGTGGGAGCCCTTACCTTCCCTACGGTTTGTTTGCATGCATCGCCTCAGAATTGCAGCATAGCATGTATACATGATCCGTGGCTGATTCCACCAGTGGGATGATCGGCACACAGCACATGCCACCCATGTCACAGGCGCTTGCTTGCGCCTGAGTAATACTGTGTAATAACAAATCTGTAGAGGAATATCGGATGAGCATGGATTCCCCGGATCGCGGCCGCAAGCCTAGAGTAGAGTCAGGGGAGTGAATCGATCCTCTAGTCTCGCAGTGGAGAATGTGTTTGAATAGTGCGCATCGATCCACAGCTGCTGTGAAACATCGCATAGGTGTCTTTTTTCTCCCTCGGTTCTTCTTAGACACCGACACGTATTCGACGTACTACATACAGTACATAGGCGCCGGCCGGATGAGAGCGGCGGCGTGATTCTCGGCCTTGCGTTCCGGACTGTTGTGCTTTGTACGTACGTACGAACACCCAAGACCGCGGCGGTCCGGCATCGAGACCGTGCTAGACTCGCTGGGCCCTCCTCGGTTCGGGGAGAAAGCAGCAGAGCATCGACACCGTGGGACTTTGAAAATGCAAGAAACACGCAACTTAGGAGACTAGACTTCGTATGCCACATACACTAGTTGAGAAGAGAGAGCGAGCTGAAAAGAATACGGTCCGCCTTGAAAGCGCCGAGAGAAAGCACGCCATGCGGGAGATGATGCAACGATATGGTGAAGGGGGGGGGGAGTCGGTAGAGGCGGCTGGATAGTGTGCACAGAAGCAAAAAGTAAAATAAGTGTATGTCGGTTGCAGCAGACAGTGCTTCCTCGGGATGTGGAGAAAAAGCCCATGATGCAGAAGGATTGTCGCTATGCGACTCATTGAACAAACAACCCCAATTTTCTGTGTGTAGCTTGTGATAATGTAAAGTGTATGAAGAAGCAAAGAAAAAGGTTTGTTTTGGGGGACCGACGCCGGGCGAATTACATCCGAGGCAAGCGACGGCTCCTGCGCTTAGGAGCGAATGGAGTGTGCCGAGAGAAGAAAAAACAAAAGCAAAAAAGCTACGAAGGAAGAACAAACTTTTTTGCCTTAGCACTGCCAAGGGAAGATTACTAAGAAGGCTACGTGGGTGGAGTAAATAGTCCGAAGATGATGATGGGAATTCCTCGTTAGTGTATACAACCCTACTCCAGTGTTCAAAGTTTGGTAGTACCGCAACATGTTTAAAAATAGTAAGTTGGGACACCAAACATGGAGAATGGCACTAGCAGCATACGTAAAAACACGGGAAAGAACACCATACAAAACACAGAGATGCAATCGCGAGATCGATAAAACCGGCAAATGCCGCAAGTGAGAAAGTCAAGTTGAAGAAAAAAAATACGAGGGAGAATGAAGGCATGATCCCAGTTTAAAGGTGAAATACATTACGTTTTTTTTTGTTCTTGTCAGCTACACTACTACGAATCCATTAGTTTGAACTATTGTTCCGGCCGCCACCCACGGCCTCATTGATATCGGTAACATTAACACTGCCATCGCAATACTCGACCCAGCCATCGAGCTCCATCTTCTTTAGCACGGTGCTAAACCGCTGGCTGCCCTCTCCCTTTCCGCTCTTAGCACAGTAGTCGGTCAGGATGTTTTCGCGCAACCCTTGTTGCGCCCCGGCGCCGTCCGGATACTCGATGTGGAACACGGGTTTCCCCGCGTCGATGAAGGGGGAGAAATTGGCGCACTCGCTGTACTTGACGCATTCTTCGTTGACGGAGAAGTGGACGATGGGGAGGACGGTGGGGACAATGTCGCCGGCGTTTTTGAGGCCGAGGGCGAGGCCGAGGGGTGCGGTGATGTTGGAGAGGTATTGCATGAAGGCGATCGAGTCCGCGGAGGTCAGTCCGAGGCCGTTGTCGTTTTGCTTTTTTTTGGCAATCGTGTCAGTACTCCCGTCCATCACATCGTGATTTCCCCCGCACTTCCACCATTTTCTTGTCGTAGGAGGCAAAAATGGTGGCGCAAGGTAATAGATAGATGGAAACTCACATATCCATCCACATTGTCCGGATCAACTCCATCGCACCCTTTGTCCTTTGCCAACTGCACCCTCGTCTTCATGATATTCCTCACATTCTCGCTCTTGAGATCAATCCATTTCTCACCGGGCCAGCCATCCAGCGGCTTACCCAAGTCGGCGTCTTTGAAATCCTTGGCGTCGGTCCGCCAGTTCTCGTAGCTGCCTGCGCTGAAGTAGCACAGCACGCGGATGCTCTGGGCGCGTAGCGCGTCGATTGTGGATTTCGGGGTGTCGAAGAGGTCGATGTCGTAGACGCTTACGTTGGGGGTTAGAGCGATGTTGGAGGACATGTCGGGAGGGTGCGAGAGAATGATTTGCCATGTTGAGGCTACCGAGGGGGTCCAGGGGAGGGTGGTGTTGGGAGAGGGGAGAGGCGTGCCGCCGGGATTGTTGTTGTTGTTGTTGTCGTTGTCGTCGTCGCCGCCAGAGTTGAGGCCTAGTCCTAATCCCAGACCGAGTGCGAGGGCGAGGACAACAACGATGACGAGGGGGAGTACGATGCAGAGGATCTTGCGGCGGCGCGACCGCGTTATCGCTGTGGGTTTGACGTCCATGATTATTTTCTTCTCTGTTTCCTTTTTCCTTTCTTCGTTCCTGGATTGTTTTTGCTTTGTCCTCTTCTCCTCGGATGGGGGACTACGCAGTTGTAGTATTACGTTGGTGAGGCTTTAGCCGAGAGACCCTTTTAGGCGCCCCGTAGGCTCAGCGTATAGCAAAAAAGAGTTTGCCAGGGGGGGCCAGCGCGTATAGAAAATGGAATGTGTTGTCACGATGGAGGGGGGGAACACAGCCAGCTTTGTTTTTATTGAAGTTGCTAGCATAAGCCCCAATAGTACCAACCCGCTATACGAAACTGCCTCCCTTCAGCTCTACACTCTAGATGCAAACCCAGGCCAGTATTCTACATGGTTTGCAGAGGAAGAGAAAACAAGGGAGACGCGGCGTTAGCGGCGCAGTCGCGACATGAGACCTTTTTCTTGTTCGGCACTTGCGGCTGAGGGATGCAAGGTGCATGTAGGTTAATATAAAGGATGTTAAATAAAACACGGTCCTAGCTGGAGACGGCATAACGCCTCGTCTGCGGCAGTGGTAGCGCGTGTGGCTGGTGTAGAGTCGGGGAAGCGGTTCCGGTTGGTGGAGCGGGGGAGAGGAGCACGCCATCGTGGTGGTGGAGGATACATTGCCACATGCGGATCTTGGGCATAGTAAGGCATGCCGTCAGGAGATGCGGTCAACGGAGCTGACAGCCAGCTCGGTGAACCGTGTCCAAGCATGCATTAGCAGTTTCAAAGTGGCGCCTGTCGTTCAAACGGACCGGGGCGCTATACAAAAACGTCCCGAGGATATGGCGTTTTCGATACTCGCCCCCAGTCTGTGTGTGTGCGTGTGTGGTGGCTGGAACAGCGAAGCGACTTGGCAGCCAGCCTGAAATGCTGACCGCTTAAACTCCGGTCCAACCCTTGCAAGGCTGCGCCAACGCCACTCCAGTAAAAAGTAAACATGTAGCATCGCATCGTCAGGCGGCATATAAGTTTTGGTTTTTCTCTTAACGGACCCACTCATAGCTCTCGTGAATATCGTGTTCAAGCATTCCTATTAGACATTTGTAGCCATAATGTAATCACTAACAATGCAAACAAATATTGAAAGTCCGCCACGCCCTCCTAGAGAGGCAATGCCGACGAGAGCCTGTATGTCCTGCTCGCACCACTCATAGACACCCACAGCGTCAAGGGATCGCTGCCTAGCTGCTCCCTGGTCGCGCCAGTCGAGTCTGCTACTGACCCTGGCACCGTCACTGGAATAGTTGCACCGCAGCTGTTTCCGCCTGCCGTGAACACGCTCACAGACTCGATGCTGGCACCATTGGTCGACGTCTTCCAGGTCATGCTAGGCCTGCAGAGATCGCGCGTCTGTCGGTTGAGGAATTGCTGCGCAATATCGTCATGCTTAAGCGTCTTCATGGGCCAGGTCGTCCTAGAGCGGGTGTGTCAGCATTGCTTAATCGAATACGACCATGGTTTACGTACAGGCGCGTCATCTCAGTGGTCACAACCTCGAGCCACGACATGAGTAGCGAGTATTGGCCAGACTTGCCATTAATAGTAGTCGTTGGCACGTCCGCAACCCGCATGTTAGCCTGGTGGAACATGTACCTGCGTGATGTCTCAGTAAACTTTCTTCAAGCGGATACGGGCGGACGACTTACGGATCCCAGTGAAGCCCGAAAAGATTGCGTATCGCCGTATCCCGGGCGTTGGCCAATAGATCGTCAAAGGTGCCGGCGCCAGCTGATGTATCAATCCATTCCTGGGTAGTGCAGGCTGGGAGATCGCAGTTGTAGTAGATCAGAGTGGCCCAACGTGGCATAATGTTCAGACCAGCATACCCATTGAACGATGTCGTCGTGGCCAATGGCCAGAACGAGCTCTGCGTGTTGCGGAGACGTGGTCGGGTATTGTCTCCAACCACATTGGTGATACCATTGTCCATCCATGCCTTGATGGCGTCTGCATTGAACAGACCAGTGATGGCTGGTGGAATGAGACCCTTGGTGCTCCATCGCTTAGCAGCGTCGAGTCCGACTTGCTTCAGCCAGGCCCTGTTGAAGGAAATTTCCTTTGATGTGTCCGCATAGGTGGCATTGGTCAAGTCCATGTGTGAGCTAGTGTCTTGTCAGCAGCGATCAGCGTCTTAGTAGCAATTGTATACGTACAATGTGTGAGAAATATGGGCAAAAGCGTCGCGGTTTGATGTCACTGCAAACCAGTTCTCAAGCGGATCAATCTGGGCACATTGAAGACTCCAGGTGTATGAAGTGGGTGTCGTAGGCCAGATGTTTACACCGGTGCCAGGGGGTTTAGAGTATTCTGGGCTGCCGTCAGGCTGATCGGAATATTCAATAGCCTGGGGAGGGTTGCAGCGTGTCTGGCCTAGATCCGTGTATGCAGATGCTTCAATGTCACCGTTGCCGTTGTGGCCGATCTCAATGAAGAACTCAGATCCCGCCGGCAGCCTTGCGTTAAGAGCAGCCTGCCATGTCACGTGGGTCGTAAGATCCTGTGGCGTGCAGCGGTAGTTTTGGCCTGCTGGACGGTACAAGCCCGTTTCCAGGAACATGTCGTCAACTTGCGTACTGAGATAGATTCGCCTGAAACCAAGGAAGAGGCCTCTGGTCATCCAAGTGATCCACGCGTGCTGCAGAATGTTGCTGGATGGCGCCCAGTCTAGCGCAAACGGAAGAAACCATGCCATCTGCTGGCGTGCACCAATCTGGTTGATGACTGCAGCAGTTCCAGCATTGGAAAAGCTAGCAAACTCCCACGCAATCGAAGAGTTTGTGATTGTGGCCGGAGTATGGTAGATGCTAGCAATGCTTATCGGCACACCCCTGTCATCATGGTTAGTCCTGCTTGCATCTTATGTTTTTGCCTGTCAATGTTTGCCACCCGTACCGCTTGTGGAAGTCGAGCAGAGATCACTGCCCATTGTGGCAATTAGAGCCAAGGAGTTGTTTGCACTTACGTCTTGAGATTGGCCGAAGGGAAGCCACTTGTATTGGTAAAGGTGACTGGTTGATCGTCCAAGCTGCCACCAGTGCTAACCACACCAAATTCAGTGGTAGGAAAGACATCCAAGCGGACCATCCTCACACCAAAGTTGGTCTGGTAAGCGTACAACTGATTCCATTGATCGGTTGTAAGGGCGCTTCGGTACGAGTTGTCGTAGTTGTAGCTAACTTCGCCAACAACAACGATACCACCGTAGTTGCCATTTGTTGCAGAGGCATTGAGAAGGGGAAGATTGGCAATACCAGCCTGAGGGACAACTAGGGTCTCATAGGGTATGCCATAGCCCTGAAGACCAAGTGAGGCGCTGTTAAGCGCGGAAGTAGCATCGCGAGCGATGACCAAAACAGTGCTTGAGACAGTTGCGCTTCCCACAAACGCCGACACTGGTTGCAGCAGAGAAAGCGAGGAGACTAAGCATGCTCGCAATAACGAGCGAGAATAGGACGACATGATTAAAAAAGAAGTGAAACAATGGATGCTTGAAGTGGCTGTCTCTGAGGAATCTAGGCATATTAATAAAGAAGTCTCGGCAAAATTTGTCCCATAGGTCACCTCGAGTATAACGGTCCAGATGCGGTAAATGATCAAGGGACTATTGATTTTCCATTTTTGTTTCCACCACATTGAGAGTTACGACTTGTAGTCGGATCTAGTCTCAGGCGTACCACGGCATTGAGTTCAGCTTGACGCCTCTTAAAATCGTGGAGGTCGTAAAACCGGGGAGGAGCTTGCTGACATGGAATGGGGCGTACTATCAACCTTGGCCAGCACACTATTGCCAAATCCTCAGGTGATGCCGCTCGAGGAGAAGAGGCGTATGCCACGTGAAAAATACCGTGCCGCCGCTGTGGATCGTGAAGAACAAGCACATAGTAGGATCACACTTTAACTCTCGGCTTGGATTCAACCAGGTCGCTGGGTACGTACCGGGGCAGTTTAGCAGAGCGAGATTGAAGAGATTGCTACTATGATGCTCAGGCTGTAGTTAGAGTAGAGGACCGGGGTGCAGGCCCATGCTGTACGTAAGTGGGTGGAGGGAGTCGTATGTTGAGAAGATCCCTGGCCACTGTCTACGTTAGTGGTGTGCCTGTTGTCCCAGCAGGCGCCTGGCTGCAGTCAGCCTGTGGTGGATCGGGCCAGGGTCAGGGCCAGGGCAAGAAGCCTGTTGCATTTGCCTTGCATGAGCGCCGGAGACAAGGCCGGAGCGAATGCCACATTAGATGAAGTCTGATATTAACGTCGTAGTGTGGAGGAGGTTAGGCTAAAATGCGTGCCGAGCGGGACGCTACAAGTGGAGGGCCAAATTTAGCGCGCACAGGCCAGGGTGAGGGAAACCCTGGGCATGTCAGCCTCGCTCGCCACGGTTCCTCCTGTCCACCACTCTTACCACGTCGCCACCAAGATCCACCGTCCGCCGAACCTAGGATCCCGCTTTGGTCGGCTTGCAGTCCCCCTTCGTGTCCGGGATAGATGAATCTGGCCACTATAATCCCGCTAGTGCACTATGTCCATGCTTTTGCCTATGCCCGGCCTAAAGGCTTCGTGCTCATCACGCCGGCTCACTGTCGTCTGTAGCACCCGCCAAGCGCCGTATTGCCATATTCTCGAAGGATGAAGGCGTCTTCTCTGACTGCTGCCGATCCTGCAGTGGACATTGCTTCGGCTAGCCACTGGTCATGGTTGCTAATGCACTGCCAGATCGACGCCTAACTAACACCTGACTGTACTCTGGCATACGAAGCACACTATGCACCTCTTGATCAGCTCTCAGCTGGCCTTCACCAGTCGACTGCCTGCATTTGCCTGCCGTTCTTGTTGTGTCGTCGCCGTCGACTCGCCCTCGTTGTGACACCACTTCTCCATGCAGCGGGCTGTCGCCCTCTTGTTTTTTACTTGATAACCCACCCTATGCCCAATGCCTATGGTCACCTGCCCAGCATAGAGAAACTGTAAAGTCTGTTCAGATCACAACTGTCAGCATAGGCGTATGCCTTGTAGTCGGACCAGGTCCACGCCGTCGCAACCATGGCAAAGCCTGACGTTCTAGGTATCGAAGCCTTCAAGGATGGCACGCGAATCCGCGACTGGTGGGATTGGACTCTCATTGCCATCATTGCTGCTAGCGGATTTGTCGGCCTTGTCGCTCTCGTATGGTCTACTTATCGTTCACTTCGAAAAGTATTCAAGGTAAGAAAAGTCGCTGCACCGACATGCGCGCCCACACTGACAGATCCTGCAGGAAGATGAAGATGAAACTGCCTTGCCACGCTCCGTACAAGAGCGCATTCATCTCTTGTCAAACAGCTCAAGCGTCATTCGCGTTACGCACGCGCTCCCCGCGAAACCTTCATCTTTTGGCGTCTACCTTGGCGTATTGAAAACCCCAGTCACTCCAGAGGAGGCACAGGTCCTGTCGCAATGGGAGGCCCTCGTATTGGATTACCGACAGACTGGTGTCCTAGATGCCGTCAGTAATGATGATGTTCCCATGGGACCTTACATCATCGCGCGACTCGATCTATCCCATGTTATCACTTCGGCCACAAAGGGCACCGAGTTGGACCTGTCACAAGCGATATATCTCTTGTCGTGCACAATTGAACAGAACTTGCGACGACCCGACCAGAAGCGATACTTCACTGGTGTTCTTATCTCCGAATGGCGCGACCGCGTTCCCATCGCTTTGCTTCATGGCCTCACAAAACTTCTTTCAGCCCATGGCTTGGATAGCTATCTGGAGATCGGCGCTCCCGACTTCTTGGACGGTGTGAAGAAGCTCGATCTCTCACTCTTTGCCGGCGTAGTAGTTCGCAACGGTACAATCAAGTCGAATGGAGAGCGCCGCGATTTCTTCGACATGGACAAGATGAAGACGACAACCCGGTCCTTTGTTTCCCAAGCTTGCCAACGTTCGTTTGTCACAATGATGTGGGATAC